TCATGCCACAGGGCCAATTAGACCTTGCGGACCGCTGAGAGCTGGCTAATTATGTTAATACAAAAAAAATCATTCCGCTGATAAAGGATCATTATGTAAAAATAACAGCTAATGAAACATTACCTTTGATTTTATTTGGATTAAAACAGTCAGAGGCACAATGAAGCACTGATATAAATCAGAATATGTTGAGAGTGCCGTGGAGCTTGGCGTGGAAGGATTTCTTTCCCATTTCTTTAGAATTTCAAGAGCGGATTGACGCTTTTTCACTCGAGCTGTGGAGAAGAGTTTGGGTTGATGAGAGACAGTGTAGAGCGAGGCAACAATGTCCTTTCTATTAGCATCAGTGGATCTCAACCTTTTTGACTCCAAGACTCATCTTTGTCCAATTAAGGTATGAAAGCCCTCTTATCTAAGCTGATATTTACCTCTGGTAATTCTGAACAGACTCAGAAATATGATGACAGGTTTATTTATTTATTTATTTTTTTCATTAAGATTTGAACTTGTTTTGACCACCCCTGGTGGTTTGGTGAGGCCCCCAAGTGGGTCCCGGCCCTCTGGTTGCAACCACTTATTTGCATTAAACAAACCTATTGTTCTAAACGTGTGATTTTAGCAAATCGTTGACTTAGCTCACTAAGATTAATAATACCATTAAAGAAATAGTTTACCCAAAAATGAAAATGTGCTGAACATTTCCTGTGTGTTTGTAAGGAAAAACAATATCCATCATTTTAACTTTAAACCATTGCTTTTGGCCAGAAATAGAAGTCCATAATATAATAATAATTCCTCCTGGGATGATACATCCATCTCCTGATTTGATGCTATCACGATACTTGGGTGCTGATATACGATATGTATTGTGATTTTTAAGAATTGTCATTTTGTGCATATCTGTACATGTGTACATTGTATACTGTATATGTATATTGTATACCATTGTTAATTGTATTGTTCTCATATGTGCAATGTCTGGAACACGCACCTAAGCTTTTCACACATCATTTACTTGTAAATGCTGCAGTGACAATAAAAGTGAGTTGAGTTGAATTGAGTTGAATTGCGATTCTACAAGTATTGCAATTCGATATTGTTATGTACTAACTAAAACAAGTAGCCACAAACAGTCCAATATAATTTATTTTCCTTCAGTGTGTAATATACAGTCCCTTCAGGATTTTGCAATTCTGCGATGGCAGAATTAAACACAAAATGAAGAAAACTCTGCAATATTCAGAGGAACTTGCAATTTCCATCGAACGGGTCAGTTTATCAACACTGCCTGTATGCTTTGTAAACTGTGTAAAAATGTATATTTTCTCCTCCAATGAAAAAGTGCATCTCCTGTTGTCTCTCAACATCTTAATGATGAATTTATTACAAACACACAGCTTTTGTCTTTATCTGATGGACCGGATTACTTGTGGATTACTGTGATGTTTTTATCAGCTGTTTGGACTCTCATTCTGACGGCACCCATTCACTGCAGAGCATCTATTGCTGAGACACTGATGCAATGCTACATTTCTACAAACCTCATCTCATCTAGAAAATGAAAATTCTGTTCTAAAACGTTTATCATGTATGCACCCTCACCTATGTGAACTATATGCATCAAAACGAGGGAAAAACTAGATTTGTACATTTTCTAAAAAAAAGTGAGTATTATTTACAGGGTGGTGTGCATTGAATGGTTTTTATTGCATTGCTCTGTGTTTGCTACAGGTGCTTGCTAAAAGTGCAGAACAAATTACTAGCCTGTATTAGAAGTGGAGAAAACTCAAAAACAGGACGCTTTACTTTTTGAGTATGCACAACTTGTGGGGGAAAAAAAATAGTTGTATCAACAACTTAATTATAGTTGGCCTACATTTTCCTCAAGTTTTCTAACCTCAAAAACAATGTTTTACTTCTTGATCCAAGTTCAGTAATCTTGCATTTTAAGCTAAACTAATCATTCCTTCAGATGAACAAATTATTAGTGCATCAGTGATAAAAATGTTTTTATGTAATATCAACTTCTTAAAATGTTGATAGTCCAGACAACATTTAAAATAGAGTCTGTCTGACAAAATATAATTTTTTACAGTACGTTATTTGTTCAAATCCCTAACTCTAAAAAGCGCTGTTAAGAGTCTAACAAAGACATGCTCCATGAGCAGCAAACAAAGACTCATATAGCCCAAAAACAGAGAGATGCTGAAAAGAAGACTGTGTTTAGGGTGGTATAAGATTCTCCTCCGAGAAGATACTGTGTAACTTCTGTATAGTAACATCCTTTTTGTTTGAAATGTGTGCCACTATGCAGGGTCCCTGTTAGAAGAACTGGTATCCTTGCATTAATTAGCAAACTAGGAAGCTCCTAAGGCTGCTTCATGAATGCTCTTTCTGCAAGTGCATCTTTCTCTAGGTGCAGTCAAGCGTGTACAATTATCTTTTTTGGCAGATTTTTTGTCAGCCATCTCCTTTGCAACAAAGTTCTTTCTCCAAACTTTTGTGGTTCATGCCCTCACAGCTTCCTTAATCTAAGGTCCCATTCGCTGAATAGGCTGGAGGTTCATCATTATGCACTTTAGCTCTGCAATAAAGGGCAGCATTGTTAAAGGAACACTCCACTATTTTTTAAAATAGGCTCATTTTCTGACTCCCCTAGAGTTAAACAGTTGAGTTTTACCGTTTTCGAATCCATTCAGCCGATCTCCGGGTCTGGCGGTAGCACTGTTAGCTGTAGCTTAGCATAGATCATTGAATCTGATTAGACCGTTAGCATCTCGCTCAAAAATGACCAAAGAGGTTCTATGTTTTTCCTATTTAAAACTTGACTCTTCTGTAGTTACATCGTGTACTAAGACCGACGGAAAATGAAAAGTTGGGATTTTCTAGGCCGATATGGCTAGGAACTATACTCTCATTCCGGCGTAATAATCAAGGAACTTTGCTGCCGTACCATGGGTGCAGCAGGCGCAATGATATTACACAGTGCCTGAAATAATAATTTTCCGTCGGTCTTAGCACACGATGTAACTACAGAAGAGTCAAGTTTTAAATAGGAAAAACATAGAAACTCTTTGGTCATTTTTGAGCGAGATGCTAACGGTCTAATCAGATTCAATGATCTATGCTAAGCTACAGCTAACAGTGCTACCGCCAGACCCGGAGATCGGCTGAATGGATTCGAAAACGGTAAAACTCAACGGTTTAACTCTAGGGGAGTTGGAAAATGAGCCTATTTTCAAAAATAGTGGAGTGTTCCTTTAAATGCGCTCTCATTGCGGTATAGCCATCGATCTTTTAACATTACTCCTACATTTAAAAGGTTAAAGAAGAAAATTACACCATTACTACGTACTTAGACTTAAACATTACCGAAAAAAAGCAATTATAGACAAAAAAGTTTTTTTTTAATACTTGCAAGACTTTTTAATTTTTTATTTTTTTTGGAGAGCACAGTTACACAGCCAATCACCCACAGCCAGCCCTATTCTACTGTCCTCTTATAGGCTCTTTCTTTCATTCAAACTGTTTCTTCCAGCTCTTTGCAACTCAAACCTTGCTGATGGAAACATAACAAGCGCCTCCGCTGTGACCTATGACCTCGGGCTCTTTGCACTTCCTGTGCCCAGCGCTCTGATGGGAGGGATCTGTCGGTGCACCTGCGGTTGGGCAGGTGACAAGGAATTCTGGGAGAAATGGAGCAGCTTCTCTCTGACACGAAGGTTAAAGCCACTGAGAACAGCTAAGATTAGAGGCTCTTTGTACCCATGAGCGTTAAACAAATTCATCTATTGCTGCTCAGCTGACTGTAAAATCTCTAGATTTACTGTTTCAATGCAGCCAAGGCCTAAGCCACAGGGTCAACCCATGCTGCCTTTCCCACAATGTCTAAAACACACATTAGAAAGCCTTTACAAAGTTTTTGTCTGCTTTTTAGGAGTAAGTATATAAAAAGAGCTTATGTATGGTGGTATTAAGGGAGATCCATTTCCAAAAAAAAAACATTTTATAAGGGTACTACACAAAATAAGTGATAAGTACGTAAGTAAATAAATAAATAATATTTTACGAACATATGGATCAAAAAAGCACTATTGTTCCATTTAGCATTGTTTTAGCAGCATTACATGTGTATAGAATAGAACAAAAGTAGGACAAAATAAAAAGGAGTTAATATTATTATATAGCTGATTATGTTGTAGCTACTATTTTATTTAATTTTTTTTAATTCAGCCAATGTAGGATTGAAAAGCTAGCAAGCGAGCAGCATGAAGAGAAGCAATGAGCGTTATGCTCCGGGTCAAACTGTGTCAGCTCCAGTTAAGCACAGTCCAGCGCACAGAAACTGACCCACATGTTCTCTTTTATGCTATGATATGCTATTCAGAGCTCTTTATTTATTTATTTATTAACATGCATTCCTAAATTAAAACGAGCTATTATTATTATTAACAACATTTGATACATCTGGCTTAAGTCTAACCATGTTCAAATGTACAATGCAGTCTTATATTGCATTTTCACCCAGTTCTATAGGCTATAAATATAAGGAACTTATAACTTTGAATTAACCTTCACTTGTTCCTTAATTGAAATAGCCTACAAAAATGCCATCCATATACCATACTAAAAATGCACAGCACAGTACAAGTACAATAATGCAACAAAACATAAACATATAGAATAAAAAAGCACAAAATAATGGAGTATCTCTTCTAGAAATAAACGTATTGTTTTATATATTAACCTATTTTAAACATATTAAACTTCTCATTCTTACTCAGAAAGTTTGATAAACTTTCTTCTATATTCGACATGTTTATTTATTTATTTGGCTAAGCAAAGTTGTGCTCCTTTCCAAAAGACACCTACAAATCAGAGGAGATTTTAATGTATTGTATTGTATTTTAATCGAATAGAAAAGCTGAATACAACAAAATGGCATAAACATAAATATTTACGCGGCGCGTTTGGTGTGACGTCACACACGTGCGCCAAGATTCGTCTGTCAGTCAGGAAAGTCATTCGCCTTCATGTTTACCCAGGGCAAAATTAGTGTTTATGACCCGGATTATTTGTCTTGAAGTCTAAACTTGACGGATTCCGCTTTCTTCGTCCTTGACGTCGGTTCCGTACGACTCCAGTGTGAGTAGCTTCGGTCAGTTCGGTGTTTGTCGGAGTTCAAATCTAAAGGACCGTAATCTATCAGAAACCACAACAATGGAGGAACAGTCTCTACTTGTGTGTTTTGAGTAAATGCTTTGTATATCGTGTATTCTGAAGTGTCTGTTCACATTATTTGCTATCATTAAATGATTAGAGTTCCTCCTTTGTAATGTTCATCATGACACTCTCTTCTAGGATGTCTCTGGGGTTCCTGAGGCTTGTTTTGAGTCCTCTTCTTCGCCCCATAGGCCTGCTCTCTTCACCCCTGGCAAGAATCCCATCAGCCCTCAGGCCAGCATGCTCTTGCCATATCGTCTCTCCCTGGCCATACATGTCTACATACTTCTCCACTGACACTGAGAGGGGGGGCACCAATGTGACAGATCTCCAGAAGGAGACTAAAAAGCTGAAACCGAAAGCACGGGTCACTTTGGGCAGCGTGGGTAGGAAGATCGGCCCTCGGCATATCCAGTTATTGGGTGAGGATGGTGAGGATTTGGGTACAATGCACCGTGCTACTGTGTTACGACTGATGGACCAAACAGGCCTGAAGCTCGTTGCCATAAATGACAACTGTGATCCTCCATTATACAGACTGATGAATGGGAAACAGATCCACGAAGAGCAGATGAAACTCAGAGACACACAGAAAGCCAAGAAAGGTGGGTTTCGGTCAGGAAAAATTGTGACCCTGGAGCACAAAACCAGTCATAAGGGTCAATTTTTCGAAATTGGGATGTATACACCAGCTGAAAGCTGAATACATAAGCTTTCCATTGATGTGTGGTTTGTTATGATAGTTTAATATTTGGCTGAGATACAACTATTTGAAAATCTGGAATCTGAGGGTGCAAAAAAAAAAATCTAAATATTGAGAAAATCGTCTTTGAAGTTGTGCAAATGAAGTTCTTAGCGATGCATATTACTAATCAAAAATTACGTTTTGATATATTTACGGTAGGAAATCTACAAAATATCTTCATGGAACATGATCTTTACTTAATATCCTAATGATTTTTGGCATAAAAGAAAAATCTATAATTGTGACCCATACAATGTATTGTTGGCTATTGCTACAAATATACCCCAGCGACTTAACACTGCTTTTGTGCTCCAGGGTCACAATTGATGTAATATACGTCATGCCATTATTTACTCATCATGTTATTTTAAATAATAAAAGTAGTCAATACAAACTATTTCCCAAGTTTTCTGAAGCCGTAGACCAAAAGGTAATTTGCCATTCGTTGATGAACTTCTTTACTCTGCATTCAGTTTTTCTTTTTTTTTTTAAAGGTGAGGCACTTTAACCTTTGGTTAGATGGCTCATACATCATTGGGTCTCATTTGTGTAGTACGGAGAGATGATAAAGAATGAGATTTGAGAGATGCAGAGGAGAGGATTTTCAGCAGATAAGCTTAAAAGAAATAGCAAATTCGTCCAAAAATTTAAATTAGCATAAAATGTACTCACTCTCAGGCCATCAAAGTTGAAGAGGAGTTTGTTTCTTCATCAGGTTTGGAGAAATGTAGCATTGCATCAATGTCTCAGCAATGGATGCTCTGCAGTGAATGGGTGCCGTCAGAATGAGAGTCCAAACAGCTGATAAAAACATCACAATAATCCACTCCAGTCCAAATCTGTCCCGATAAAGAAACAAACTCCTCTCAGATGGCCTGATTTTTAGCAAATTTTGAGCTATTCCTTCTAATTTCGGTCTGTTCCTCATTCAGTGCTATAAGCCGTCTTTAGGAATTACGTGCGCTAGTTATAGGGACTATTCTTATGATGTATTTATTGATGGCTGTGGTCACTATGAACTCTTGTAGTGTGAAAAAAAAAAAAGATGCTTAATTTTTGTTTTCTAAGAGAATATGGGTTTGGAACAACAGTGGTGACTAAACAGCTGAATGTTAAATTTCGGGTTAGCTTTTCCTTTTTATCTTGCCAAGTGTACGTTTTCTCTTTCTCTAGCTCCTCGTGCTTAATTGAAGAATCTGTTGCACTTGAATGCAAATGGCATTTATTTTCCTTCCATGATGTAGTTGTGGATATTTGCATATTGTTTAAAGAAATAGAAACTTCATGTTTAGCCTAACCTTACCATTCAGCACTCTGACCTTTTTTTGGTGCATCTGCAGGACCCGTCCAATCAAAGGAGCTGAATTTCTCCTCCGATATCTCCCTTCATGACCTGGACACTAAACTGCGGCAAGTTGTCATCTGGCTGGAAAAAAACAACCACGTCAGACTCACTATCAGAGCACGAACTGACAGTGGCACATCACTGGTATGGAAACCGAATATGCATTTCCTTTCATTTGCATTGGATTAGTAAATCTGTGCATTGTTCAAAAACAAATCCCCTGTCTATGTTTGTGTTGTTTAAAGTGAATGTTTCACTGTGCATAAAGAGAGCAAGAGACAAGTTTTATGACAAATATTTTGTCCGAGCCTGTGCATATAGCAATATCTTGTCTTTAAATTAATATGCATCCACTACAGAAGATCAGAGGTGGTTACGTTCCTGGAAAGTGACTTTCTACCTGTGTATGCTCAGCTCATAATTTCATCGCATTTATATAGAACCTCCATACCAAAAATATGAGCTGTCTAAATCATCCTTTTACCTGTGAGACTACCATTCTGGCTTATGACTTAACTGATGAAAGCAATTTACTATTTATTTAGTTTAATTAGTAATTTAGTCGTCTAGTATGTGGTCAAGACTTGTGTATATTGATGTTTGTTCCACTACGATGTCTTGCGCCACAGAATTGCATTGTAAAAGCATGATTTAATTATTTTTTATTATGAACTTGTCATGGTTGCTGTCGAAAAACTTAACTTGTGTTGACCCTGAAACATTGCTTGGAAAAATACTGGAATGCTTGATCCGAGTTTACGTGCAATTCGTTTATTTATACACAAATTCATTGTATAAACGTCAACTTGCAACCAACAAAAGTTACATTTACTATGAAATGAACAGTGCAGTTCTGCTTTGAAAATGTACACTGCAGATTTCATGATTTTCTTCCCTTTTTTTTTTCCTAAACAGGACAACGTCTTAATGCAAATGGTGGAGAGGATATCAGTGGCTGTTGGCTTTGTATCGAAACCGTCTGTGGTTCGTGGGGGTCGTGCTGCCATGTGTGTCCTTCGGCTTGCTTCTGCTAAAGAACTGCAGAGAAAGGGAGCAGAGACTTCGAACAAGAATTTAAAACCTGACTCAGAGACACCAGCATAAATGGCGTAAGTCTCCAAAAATGTTGCTTTAGAAAGCTTTAGGGTTCACTGGAATATGACTCATGGACTCTACAATAAGAGGGGCTCTAAAAGGTGAACCACTGGATTTGCAGGGTCGTTGAGCTCAGAATAAATGGATTTTGTTTTGCTGACAACACTTTCTGATTTAACGGGCTCTAAATCAGAACTTATTAAACTCTGGGAGGTTTCTGGGAAGTCTGGTTTTGGTAATTTACAGCTTTCAGAGCTGAAAGGATGCAACAGACCATTTAACTGCGGATTCATAGTGGTTTCTGATTGGCTACTTTGTGGCACCGAAGATTCATCTGAATTTGAAGTTTTTGTTAGACGTTTGTTTTTTGGTTTGTGGCCACTCAGACGGGACGCCAGGGAGCGCTTCGGACGGGGTTTCAACTGAAAGAGAAAATAAGGGCAGTTATTTTCAACTTAAAAACATTTTAAATACCTGTTGTACAACCTAAAGACTAAAAGTCCGTTTCAGCTGATCAGTAATAAATACTGCAAGTAGTTACCTGCTTCTTTTCAGGATCATGAACCACACCATGGCGCAGTAAACTAAGCCAAAGCCTCAAACCCATAGTAACTTCTTAACCACTGAATTTAACGTATAGCACAAATTCTATATATTTTGAATCCCAGATTTTCACAAATCTTGATAAAAGAGTAATAAGGCAACCGAAATTGGCCAGCTTACTAATTTAACATTATCAAATTGGGAAATGTAATAAATAAATAAATCAGAAGACAATGTCGAACTGGAGCAGGTACAGAATGAAAATAATAAAAACACATTTCATAAAGTTGAAAATCTTTTTTATCAGAATTTTCTCAGTAATTAGCATTTCCGTCAGCTCTATTTTGATGTGTAAAACCTTTTTTTTTTTTTTTGGGGCAAAAAAATCCTTGGATGGAAATGTAGTTAGTAGGGCCGTCACTAACGATTATTTTGGTAATCGAGTAATCTGTCGATTATTCATTACAATACATTTATTTGTGGTGATAAAATAGACCTAAGCGAACAACAGCCTTTAAAATGAATTAAAATACAAATATAATAGCAATGAGGCAATAATAATTACTTCAAGTTTAAAGTTTACACTTTACTGCGCGATCTAATCCTTGTTTAATTTTGACTAAACATTTAATACAAATGTCCACTTAATCTTTAATATCTGGCCACTTCTTTATGACAGAAATCTACAGCCGCTGTAATTCTTGAACATGTGGACATCAGATCATGCAAACTTATTTTGAAGTCGCGATTAACAATTAGCATATTGAGAAAGATATTGATGTGTTCTCCTGTGTTTGCGTGGGTTTATAAATGATTTATCTTATAAATCTGATGAAGTGGTGCACGTTGCGTTCCCAGATGAACGTTATAATAAACCCAAACACACAACAATATGCAGAGATGGAGTTTGAGACGCTCCACACATGTAAAAGATAACAGTTTGTGCGGCGCAGCATTTACTGTGAACGGAGCCGCTCTGAGACGCATCGCATATATTTATTTAACTGAATCGTAGCGTCTGTGAATTCACAATAGCATTGTGCTTTATGCTGATTTTAAAATGGGTTTAATATATCACGCAGCCTTGGAAGACGGTCTAATAATGCGTTTCATGGATTCTCGTCCGTGGAATGCGCCACTTACGGTATTTTGCCGATTACTCGACACGGGCAAAATGCAATCAAGGATGTTTTTAAATCGAGGAATCGTGGCAGCCCTAGTAGTTAGTGAGGCAGATACTTCAAAACTCGGATGATGGGAAAGCACTAGGGATGCACCGAATGGAAATTCTTGGCCGAAGCCGAATAAAATGAAACACTGGGCCGAATACAGAACACGGTTTTTTCAAGTTTTTTCCCCCCCATGTAATTTGACAATGTTTTTCACCATTGCATAAATTAAAAATACTTAACACTAAACATTTTTTTAACATTCTAGCAGACATTATACCAACAAAGCACAATTTAACTTAAAATTAATAAGTTGGTAAAATAATATTTTTTGGCCATCAGACCCCCTTCTTGAATCAGGCATGTTTTTTTTACTGTAAAACTAAAAGCAGCCTTGCTGAGCAGAAGAGACTTCTTTTAAAACATTAGAAAATATTACAGATCCCAATTTGAACACTATGTGTGAATGTTACAATAAATGTATTAATAGAGCTGTTGTAATTATTATCATTATTATTGTCTTTTTATTTTATTTTACAGAACAACAGTAAAATTACAACAATACTAACATTTATTAATGTTTGTTGACATTCATTTTGTCAAGTTTTATTTTGGCGGAAACGCGCAGAAGACCTCAATGCTTCTTTTTGTTGACAACAATATATAAACGAGTCTCATTAGGAATACGTCGCACATATCGCATTGTCATAAAAACGTGACTGAGCAACTGACGAGTAACACTGTATCAGCGCAGATTTTCCTCGAGCTTTGGACTTTGAACTCTGGTTAACAAGCAGATCCGCCGCGAGCTCGTGCAGCGCTGTCAGAACACATGCAATGCGTGTGCGTGTATTAGAAAACATAACGTTCTGCAGTGTATTTAATTGTTTAAGGCCATTTCGTGATTTCAATCATCATACAGTAACCAGCAACAATCAGCCCATCCTCTTCTCATCGAAGACATGCGCTGCAGTCCTAAACAGTCTCTCGCTGTCGGTGCTTGTAATGATTTGTGCGTCTTTCGCTGACAGTTTAAATGCTTCCACACTGCTGACATGTGTGCTGCATTATAAAGAGTGCGCGCCTCTCACTTTACGCTGGTTGCTATTTGATCGAGTCACGTCATTGTTCGGTACAATATATTCAGTCTTTTCGCTTATTTGGCCGAACACCGAAAGAGCTTTTTTCGGTTGCCGAACATTCGGTGCATCCCTAGAAAGCACGGTTACCTTCATGGCAAAGGGCCTGCCGCAGCCAGGCTGAATGCAGATGAAGGAGCGCTGCTCTTCGTGGAATGACAGTATGTGGCTCTGAAGATTGAACGCAGTGGTGTAAGAGCGGGAACATCCATCTCTGGGGCAGTGATACACCAGGCGCTCTTCAGAGTGAACATGCTGATGCTGCTTCAGGAACCAGCTATCCCTGAATGTTTTCTTACACTGATCACACCATACCCTGACTGAACACACACACACACACACACAAAACAATTACCAAAGTAATGTTTTCTAACTTTCTGTAAGGTTAGGCTATTTACATTCAGAACAAAACATAGGATTACCTATATGAACTTTTTTGTGGTTTGTCATCTCCGTCCAGTTCTTTCCCACAAACGAGCAACCCTCCGCGGTGCAAGAATAGCCTGCAAAGTTATGTCAGTATGACAGGCTTTCCACATGACAGGTAAGGTGATACATGATCTAATGACATGAAAAGTACTATAATCTTGTGTTCCAATCAAATATGCTGACATTTGTACTCGGAAAGCTACTGTATGGGATCATAATACTTATATATAAGCTTATATAACAGAACAATACCTTTGGGTAGCTTCTCATGGCGCTTCAGTTTACCACGTTGTGAAAACCGTCTCGCGCAGCCTTCATGTGAACACCTGAGGATCAGAGCCATTGCAGTGTGTACAGAACATCAAGTGAAGGTAATCGGACACACACAGTTCTAACTCGAGCATTGTGTTATGCTAGTTTACCGCAAGAGAGATCATTAATGACAAAATACAGAGACATAAGACAAACTAGTGTAAGAAGTCTTACAAGAAAGGTAGCAGCTGGGTGTGTGCACACTCATGGGTTTTCAGCTGGTTATTTTTCTTGAATGCTTTCTCACATCCTTCAAATGTACACTAGCAACCCTCTACGCACACCTTGGCAATATAATCGCCATTGGCTAGTACATTTTTTTGTTTACTCGCCAGACTGATATACTATTTTACACACACACACACACAAACACGTTTACTTGGCTATCTAAATGGGGACATTACATAGACTTCTATTGTTTTTATATACAGATAGTTATACACTTTTTAACCTAAACCCACCCCTAACCCTACCCCTCACAGAAAACTTTCTGCATTTTTACAATTTCAAAAGTAAAAAAAAAAAGCGCTCAGTCAGCGTGTTTATCGAGTGAAAATCTGTGTTGAACGCCTCTCACACACATACTGGCGTGTAAAATCTAAGAATTTATTAACCAATGGCTAATGTTAGACATTATTTAGTCGCCCAGAGTAAGATTTAGTCGCATATGCGAGTGATTTACTCGCAATGTAGAGGGTTGACTAGGGGGAAAAAAACATTATTAGAACTACGAAGACAACAACATCAACAAAAATCACATATAAATATAACATACAACCCTTAACATTACTGTATGGTAATAGAATTTCAGTTGACACAAGTGTTACTTGCTACTTGTTTGTGCATCTCGGATTTGTGTGTTTTCAGGCCTTGCAAGTATTTGTAGTGAATATTGTTGCATCAGTCAGTGTGGTTTTGCATGCCAGCTGTTTTCCAGCAAAATGGTGTTTAAATATATCTGAATGTAACCATCACTTACATTCGAGTGCAGATATTTAATTCAGTCCTCAGAAATACCATATACTTTTTTGTGGCTAAATGCGTTTACATTTACTTACTATGTATTGTTTTGTCTCTTGTCTGTGAATACGTTAAATATGTTTCTTCAAGTTGGAGTTTGTGGTGAACCCTTCGTTGCATCCGTCCTCCGTGCATCTGTCAACATAGCGCGAGACATGACACTTTACTATACTATTAAATGCTCTCTCTCTCTTCTGTCACACACACACACACACACACACACACACACACTTACATGTAAGGTCTGTCACCGGTGTGTGTCAGCGTATGGCGAGCAAGATGATATTTTGTGCAGAACGATTTGCCGCACGTGCTATACTCGCACTTATATGGCCTCTGCAATCAATCAATCAATCAATCAGTAAAAGTATCGTTCACATCAAACCTCTGAGAGCCGTGTTGACCGATTTGAACTCTATGACAAATGTAATTTCGTGTAAGTCACTTTAATCCAATTGAATGGCTTCCAGAACGTTTCATACATGCGCAAATAAAACAGAACGGTTTAATTTAACGTTATATGAAATGTATTCACACAGTCTTCGCTCACGTGTTGGCTTTGCGCTTAACTTACCTCCCCTGTATGTTTGCAGAGATGCGCTTCTAGCTTCCATGCTCTGTTGTACGACGCTTGACAGTCGGGAAACGAACAAATAAATGTTGCGCTGGGTTTAACGTTAGTTTCGTGCATTGTCATATGTTCAGCTACAAGGTATGGCTAGAGCTAGAGCGTGTGTGCCTTCTTCATTTTGATAGCCTACGAAACATCTGACGTCACGTCAACACTAACATTCTGTATGGAACGCCAGTGATGCCAAAACTTAGGAATAGGGGTTATGCGTAACAGACTTCCGTATTCTGTTAACCGGGTCTCGTCGCTTCCGGTTCAAGCGTTTTGCATATGCTTAGTTAAATATGAAGCAGTTTTACTCAAGATGCCTTCAAAGTAGATACCAATGATGATCATAACTGATGTCCATCACATATGCGGACTGATATCTAAAAGTTTATTTTTATTTTTTTCACATTTAGATATAAACATTGAATAAAACGTCAACAATAAAGACAGCTAGCTAGTTTAACTGATTATCTTAAAAGTCCATAGATATCGCTATTATTTAATACGGCTGTTAACACGTTCTCCGACAAGCGGAAACAATGAGACCTGTTTTCCGGGTTTGGTCAGGTGATGTTCGACATATACCCTATAGTCCACACGTACACGGGTATTTTTTTATAAACTGAGTTTTTCGTCCTTTGTTTAAAAATAATCTAGTCCACATGAAAATGCAAAAACACGCTAGCAGTCAAGAGCATGCCAAACCAACAGGTGGCGATATAACCCTAACCATAAAGCCATGTTGGCCAAATCAGAAGCCTGAAAAAATGGTTATTACCGGTTGTTAGTGCCAACGTCACAAAGATTTCTCGCATCAACTTGTGAACTGGGAGTTTTCTGAGAGCTACGACTTGTACCATGTACCACCTGACCACCGCAGGCTCTGTTTTATCGAGTCCGAGGACGTGCTGTCATCGCGAAATCACGGTAATTACGATATGATGTGAACGCAGCATAAATCGCTCTATGTTTAATATAGGAAAACATGATACAGGTCAATGTATTTATTGTAATCAGGCGGAAACAATAGAGCATGTTTTAATAAAATGTAAAAAAATATGAAAAAGAAAGGTTAAAACTCATTAAAGAACTAAGAAACATGGGTGTTGAATCATTTAATTTGACAAGCCTTTTGGAAGAGCATACAGAACAAGGTAAAATATATGGTGCTATTATAAAATACATTAAAGAAATAGGATTAATCAGGAGTATTTATTTATTTTTTATATTAGTTGCTTATTAGTGCTTCACACTCCAGTCCAGTTGGTGGCGGTAAATGCACCAGAAGTTGGTTTGCCATCCGCCATAAAACGTTATTAGAAGAAGAAGAAGACGTCACAAAAATCTCCAGTTTCACCGGCTACACGTCAACACTGTAACCGGAGTTTCTGAAAATCTTCACCCCGGCAGGAGTTATCAAAAAGGTTCGGTTTCAGTGAGCTGCATACAGGGCTGGCCCTGACCAATTTGGTGCCCTTGGCAAGATTTTAGCTGGTGCCCCTTGCATCGCAGCCGATTCCACCACCGATCATTCACACAGAAAACTGCATATCAAACAAACTTCATATGAAATGAATGAAAGATGGTTGCACAAAAAATTGTTGACATTAACGCATCGCTATTTAATTTAGAGAACTTTATCGTCCAAATAGCTGTTGAGATGTAGTGTTATTTTTCAAGGCATGGAGGCGTAATGCAGTTTTTGTCTTGTTTTGACTAAGATGGCATCTGAATTGTGCCCAACATGTCTTACAGAGGTGCTAGAGAATTTGGGTGGTGGTGGTGGTGCTGGAGGGGGGGTTCTGTGAGGCACTGTGCAACTCAAGAGGAGTCCCTCGTCCTTCTGCTTGGACCACAGGGGCTGGGATAATCACATTAGTGGAAGATGGGAAGTAGACAGTGGCGTGAAAGCCTGGAGAGCAATGGCACGACTAATCCCGTTATTGCTGAGAGAGAAAAGAGCGACGCTGGCTCTCTGCGGAGGCTGAGAAAAACCCTACTTTCCCAGGAGTGAGTTCACCTGTATGGTAACACACAGAAGTTGGTCTTTTGGTGCTTATTACGAGGAGACAATTGGCACTTGGCACGTACCACTGCTTTTTGTCTTTTCTTAACACCATCTCAACATCCCACCCTCCCCAACTCCCCATAGTAATGCGCTATTACACATTGTCAATGTATAAACAAAACAAAACAGGATAGGCATTCCATGAGATCCTCTTTGGCTCCCCGCTGGTGAAGACGTCCCTTACAGTAGGCACTGCTGTATGTGGACAGGATAGGGAGGGGGCAGCGCTGCCAAAAACATAGGACTTGCTTTATCTCTAAAGTGTTCCTGCACCCGAGTTCATCTTTAATACAAACTTAATACAAGGACAATAGGATGCGCTCTATAAACCGATGCCCTGCTGAATTCGCTGGCAGATGGCCTCAATCAAGGACAGTCCTAGATTGAGGAGGCATTTCATTGGGCGGATAGGAGGACATGTCCCGCATCCCCACGTTTTCCCTCAAGAGCAGTGCTAGTGCTCAGAAGCAAGATTCCTTGCGCTCCCTGGCAACGGTGGGAAAACAAAACGTCAGCTCTGATCTGTCAAGTCTTTAAGCCCTCTGCTTCTGTCTCTCTTTCTCTTGTTTTACGGGATTGTACTGCTGTATTGGTATAGGGATTAAGCTGAGTGGTAAAACAGTGATTTAATGAACTTTGCATGGCAGCATGCCGCATTTCAACTACTATCGCAAATAAGCAGGGCCAGTGGGAGATCGCTATGGGAACTTTTCTGAGCCATATGGAAACAGGGGCAAGCGCTTTTGAGGCTGTGGGTTTTTAATTCCAATAAAAAAACAATTTCAAATACTTGAAAACAACAGAGTCAGAGTGTGAGAAAGAATGTTCTCAGGAAAAAACACAAAAAACAGACGGACCACCAGGTGCACTGTGTGTGTGATGCAGACAGAATGTATCCGCTCACCAGACTGTTTTTTATTTTGCCATGTAATCACAATAATGCTCGGCTTTAAATCAATTATACTGCAGATGACCGCATCATTCAATCTAAATAGCTAGACTTAGAGTCGCTTGTTTCAGTTTGTATAATTTAATTCTCTCATAATCAAGTATTATCAGACATTCTTTTAAGCTATTTAACAAACAAATTATTTTCTTCTTTTGTGAATGTGTAAAGGGACCAATAAAAATAAATACATCTAAAAATCAAATTTGAACACAACTCAAAACTATGCTTGCAAGATGTTTCAAATACATTCATAAAATGTCATTAAGCTTCCATCATACCCAGATGTACAACACCAAAAATATGTGAAGTATGTGACATGTCTAGAATTGTGAAAAAGTTTAGCACTAATGCCACTATTGTGGTCTGTTAACTTATCCCATTCATGAGCCCTACAGTGCACCCAACAGTGGGTTTGAATCATTAAAATGTTGTAATCCCCCACCATTGTGTTCAGACACCGCTACATTTTTAGGTCTTAAATCAGCAAGATCTTCAATAGGGAATATCCAGAATGCATTGTGGTCATTTTAACAGCCATACATTTAGTCCTTAACTAAGTGGTGTAAAAAAAAAATAAAAAAAAAACTGAGGCAGAGTGAAAAAATGAAGCCAGTCTAAATTGGGAAGAGCTGTTTGATTGAAAAAAACAAAAACAAATTGGAAACAAAAAATTTATTGAAAATATTTAAAAAGTATATCTTTTTTTTAAAAGTATATCAATCTTACTTTTTTGTTGTTGTTTTATTTAAAAAGATGAATATACTTAAGGAAATGAGAAAAACTCTACCTAGAGTCCATTTCATGTAGACAACCAAAATCATATTCATAATCAAATAATCTTAAGAACTTGACTTCTTAAAGTCAAGTTATCAACCAAGTCACATGAATAAACCTAAATTTACATTACAATTAGAACTGTCAAAATTCATGCATTAACAGCTGAAATCAATAGTTTTGTGGGCAGCTCTTTTATACTTAAAATGTTGTAATCCCCCCACCATTGTGTTCAGACAACGCTACATTTTTAGGTCTTAAATCAGCAAGATCTTCAATAGGGAATATCCAGAATGCATTGTGGTCATTTTAACAGCCATACATTTAGTCCTTAACTAAGTGAAGTAAAAAAAAAAAACTGAGGCATAGTGAAAAAATGAAGCCAGTCTAAATTGGGAAGAGCTGTTTGATTGAAAAAAAAAAAGGAATATCTTTTTTTTTTTTTTAAGTATATCAATCTTACTTTTTTTGTTGTTGTTTTATTTAAAAACATGAACATACTTAGGGAAATTAGAAAAACTCTACCTAGAGTCCATTTCATGTAGACAACCAAAATCATATTCATAATCAAATAATCTTAAGAACTTGACTTCTTAAAGTCAAGTTATCAACCAAGTCACATGAATAAACCTAAATTTACATTACAATTAGAACTGTCAAAATTCATGCATTAACAGCTGAAATCAATAGTTTTGTGGGCAGCTCTTTTATACTGTCAGAAAAAAAGTGCAAAAATTGCTGATCACTGGGAAAGCACCCATAAATGGGAAACTCTATACCTTATCTACCTAGAAAAGGTGCATATTAGTACATTAGATTAAATGCAAGGCACAAGGACTTGCCTTCCAGGAGGGGGGAGTTCTGTCACGTGTATATCTGATTAGTTCTCTAGTTAGTTTCTGTGATTGCTAATTAGTCCCCACACCTGTTCAATTTCTCCCTGATTACTCTCTTCACATATTTAAGCCCCGAGTTCTCCTTTGTTCATTGTCTGGTACTGGTTTTGTTTCCAGAAGCTCTTCTAGTGTTTTCTCAGTGTTTAAATAGTATTTTTGATATATCTTTGTGCTTGCATGTCTAACACGTTACAATCTGGTATCGGGATATGCGTTTTTAACTTAAATGTGCAAGGCATCCAGTTTCAGCAGCTTTAACTTTCTAATTACTCATTAAACATTTCACTTTGGCATAAATGAGAGAGAAGTCAACCTGTAATTCTATAATGATTTTTTTTGAAGATAATGTTACTAGTATTAAATGCTCTCATATTGTGCACAATAAGTTATTCACACAAAATTTTCCCACACAAACATTTTTTGGCACAAGCTGAGGAAAGAGGTAACAGAAAAAGTAATAAATAATAAACATACATTACACTAGTTGATTATTCAGTTGAAATAATATTTAATTAATAAAATGGATA